CTGTCAGTTTTCTTGATGTTTTAAGGAATCTTAGCAATTGGCTATCAATCGGAATAGTATATGAGGTCCTAAAGGCTTGCATGCAAACAAGCAGCCATCTAAGCAAGGAGTCAGTTAAGTCCATAAGGTAGAAGCTCACCAGCTTGTGTGATCCAAAGATGACAATTACAAAATTTGAATATGACGAAGGGAAAAGTTTTAGAGCTAAAATTATGAACACCCAATTTGGAGAAGGCTATGGATGACAGTGGGAACCCAAAACCCAGAGTAACTAGTTAGATTACACCTGCAGAGTAACTAGTTAGATTAAGCCATTGGCAGACCCCCACTAGCTCCAGGCAAGGGTCTCGAACAGCCTTACTATCAGACAGAAATCATTGTAATACCGATTATGCTGGATTGAACTTGATACTTGGTCAGTTGACCTCCCTATTGACCCAACCTGAATTTGTTCTAGGTGCAAGTATCTCTTACCTATTCCCTGATAAAAATTTCTTTCCTAACTTTTAAAATATTGATGGCGGTCTTTTCTTTCTTACTCATTATTTGTATATTTATCTTTATGTTACTATTACTTTATCCTTACCACTTTTATTTGATTTTGTTTTTGTTTTTCATTGTTTCTGCTGGGTTTCCACTTGTGAATTACAGAAGGAATGGATGCATAGAGATAATTACTGTAGGGGTGGGGGGTAGGATATAGGGAGGGTAAGGGGATTTGTGGAGTAAACATTGAATGTGGGTTGGGGGGAGAAAGCACTAGAACTGATTGTGGTTACCCAACTCATTTCAAAGGTAATTTAACCATGGGCAGGGGGAATGTTCAAAAATTAATTGTAGTGATGATTGTACAATTCTTGATATGTTTGAACGATTGAAATGCATGATATGTGGATTAGGTGCCCATAAACCTGTTTAAAAAAGAAAAGACAAAGAAATAGAATTGAACTAAAAAAGAAATCTAACTTTCTGTTTTCTTCATTTTTATTATTTCTGCATTTTTAGTTTCAGAGATTTCTGTTCTTGTTTCCTTACTTTTATTTTGCCTTTTTTGTAGGTTCTTAAAGAAGGAACTTAGAGTACTGATTGCTTCCTCTTCTGTTCTATGGTTAGCCTTTTGGGTGCTACAAATTACCCTCCCAGCACTGTTTTTGTTGTGCCTGCCCCTCAAATTATGGTGTGATAAATGTTCCTTTTCATTCTGTTTTATATATATTTCTTTCACATATATTTAACATATATATATATATAGTTTGTTTTTGTTTTTTAATCATACAACTCTTATTATTTTTTAATGTCCCGAGAGTTTGTCCTTGGTCTGTGGTGTGATCTTGTGTGATCTTGTGATCTTTAGTTTCTGTTTGGGGATTTTCCTGTTATCTTTCTCTTACTGATACTGAGTTTGATTTCATTGTGGTCATAGATTAAATGCTATATGATTAAGATTCTTTCACATTTGTTGAGGTTTCTGGCAAAAAGCAAACCTAGAAAACCCGCCACTCTGACAGTCCTGGGGTTCTGTGGTCCCTGGCATGCCTGCCCTCTCTCCACCCTCAGTGTTTGTGAAGTTTATTTCTTATGTAATGTGCAGGGTTTGTAGGTGCCCTGAGAGAGGAAGTGGAAATCTCAAATGACAGGCTTGAAAGGCTTTGGATTGAAGAGGTGGGTGCTCCAGCCGCCAGCCGGTAGCCAGTGTCAGGATATCAGAAGCAAGTGCTTTGGTTCCTGTGGGTCTGCCAGGGCTGGATTTAATCGACAGGGAAATAGCTCAGGGGAAGTTTTGATGTGGTAACTTTGTATGGGAACTAGACTAACAAACTGGGGACCCTGGTCCTGTGCCATGCTGCTTGACATAGAAGTCACAGATCTTCCTTTGCACCCTTCAAATCTGGCTCAGATCCTTAATATTGACAACAGATCATCTGTTTCTCTTGCCTCCACCTGACCCTTAATAATCCAGTTTCCCAAACAGAAGCCAACAACCACAGCAAATGTGTCACTATTTCTAAAGTGCAAACTTTTATGCTAGCCTCTCTCTGGGTTTCTTGTTTTGAGTCTGAATTTCATGTTTCACGGAGCCCTGAGTAAGAGGATGCCTGCGGAAGGGCGAGGGGGGGGGGAGGGCACCTCGGGAAGCCATCATTTTTCTTACTTGGTGGTTTCAAAGGGTGTTATGTCTTCACAGGAAAGTTACACGAGCCTCGAGTCTGATGGGGACTGACCACCAGACCACCAGTTCTGGACTTAAAATGTGATCCATTGTGCTGCAGTGAGGGAGCACTTGGCATTTTTAGACCCTCGGAATTTGAACCCAGCAGAAGAGAAGTTGTGGGGGGAGTGGCGCTTCCTCTGGGAAGCCTTCCCTGGGTCTGTGGGTGATGCAGGTGGCAGAACTGGACTGGAGGCCACTGAGGACAGGTTGTCCACACCCACATGTCATCTTGGGCAAGAGTCGTGGCCTCCCTTTCTTTGCACACATACCTTGAGCAGGACCCACCCAGTGTATTGCTGATTTAAACCCACCGGCAGAGGGGCTGGTGCACTTCATCACGGACTTCAGTTAACAGTGAGGGCTTAGCCATTGCAACAGCATACCCGGGAGGGTTTGGGGAGCACCTGAGGGGCAGGCACCACACTAAATTATTTTTCCCGTGAAGACAATTTTTTTGAGATGTAATCAACATGCCATAAAACTCCTCCTTTTACCCACAAAGCTTCCCAGCCACCAAACAAACAAAAAAGCCAAATCAGTCATTGTCATGTTGATGCTGGCTCCTGGTGACTTACACCTGTTTGTGACCTTTTACCAGTGAATCATTTCTTCTGAGATGCCTCTGGGTGGGTTTGAACCACTCACTGTTCAATGAGTACTCCAGCACTTAACCATTTTTGCCACCCAGGGAATCATTGTGTAGCCAGTGATGTTGTTCTTAACTCCCATGTAGTCTGCCCTGCCCATGGTGACTCAAGTGCTACAGAGTAGGACTGCTTCTTGGCTGTGATTTTAACAAGAAGCAGATAGCCAAGCTTTTGTTCCTCAGAGCCCCTGGGTGGATTCGAACCAGGACCTTTTAGGTTAGCAAACCTCTCACGCCACCCAGGTCCCTTACCACTAACTAACCTCAGAACATTTTCATTACTTCCAAAAAGGAATGTGCTATCTGCTAAAACTCACTCACCATTTTCCACTTTCCCTAGCGACTTGGAGGCCAGTGTTCTGTCTACATCTAAGATTTGCCCATTCTAGACATTTCATGTAAACAGAATCTTATAATATGTGCTCTTTTGTGCCAGACTTATTTTTCTCAGCATTAAGGTTTCAAGGTCCATCCATATTGTAGCTTTAGAATGTGTTTATCACCCCCCCCCCAAAAAATAAAACCTCATCCTTTAACTGTCACGCCCCACTACCCCCATCACCATCCTCCCACCCCCAGCAACCCACAATCTACTCTCTGTCTCTATAGCTTTCCCTGCCCTGGAACAGGTGGAGTTCTGTACAAGACATTTGTCACTTAGCGATGTCATTCTTGTTTGGGCACAGATCAGTATGTCATTTCTTTTTATTATTGAGCAATATTTCAGTGTATCATGCATATCACATTTTGTTTATCCATTCATTCATTAATGGGTATTTGGGGTTATTTTCCCCCTTATTACTGTTGGACCTGACATTGCTGTGAATATTCACAGACAAGTTTTCTTCAGTCATAGATTTTCATTTCTCTTTGGTGTATACCGTGAGTGGAATTGCGGTGTCCTAGAGTAAATCTATGTGTAACTTCTGAGGGACTGGCAGACATCTCAGAGTGGCCATTTTGCATTTTACGCTGTCTCGTCAGTCCTAATAAACTTTGTGAAATGTAGATGGGGCGTCATCCCCATTTTACAAATGCATGTTAAGCACTGATACGCAGTTTTCTTACATAAATTCATATAACTGGTCGTTTGGTTGATGATTCTTTGGCAAACGGCAGCTTCTCCCAGATCCTGTTTTGGATTATTTCGGTGAAGGCGTTGACATTTCATGTGAGATACTTCATGCCTAGCACAGTGCCCATCACATTGGCATCAAATTGTTATAAAGTAAAATATCTTCTCCCCCTGATCAGAACCTTGGAGGCAGCCTTTTTCTTAGGGATTGCAATGAAAATATCCCACTGCCATTTAGTCAGTTCTGACTCATAGCAACCCTGTAAAGGGTTCCCAAGGCTCTAAGTCTTTATGGGAACAGATAACCTCATCTTTCACCCATGGAGTGGCTGGTGATTTTGAACCAAAGACTTTGCAGTTAACAATCCAGTGCCTAGCTGGCAGTGCCACCATGACTCCTACAGTCTGGTGCATTCTACTCTGCCTAAAAGGGATGTGGAACCCTAAACATAACCCTAACCCTAAGTATAACCCTAGTCCTGACCTTAAAACTAAGCCTAACCCTAACCCTAACCTTAAGCCTAACACCAACCCTAATCCTAAGTCTAACACTTACTCTAACTCTAACCCTAACCCTGCCTTAAGTCTAACACCAACCCTAACCCTAACCCTAGTCTAACTCCAACCCTAACCGTAACCCTAAGTCTAAGACTAACCGTAACTCTAACGCTTAAAAAATAAAAGAAAGAAATAAAGTGAAAGGGATGTGACTGCACATCAGATGCTGACCTATATTCATACAACTTCCTGGGGAATCAAGCCTGTGGCTGAGGCATAGATATCTTGGGGTTGGTCATGCTGAAGTGACTGTTTTCAGTGAACCTGGTTTCTCTTTCTGTGGTTCAAGGCCACTGATAACCTCCCCTCTTTTTTTCTCCTCCAGGCAAAACCCATCTATGGTGGTTGGCTGCTCCTGGCTCCGGATGGGACTGACTTTGACAACCCAGTGCATCGGTCTCGGGTATGGGTGAATTCTCAGGGCGTGAAGATTTCAGGAGGGGAGGAGCCAGAGGGACCCATGGAGGAATCAACTTGTGGAACTGAGGAGAGTGATAGGGATTTTAAAATGGATCCTTGATGATAGGACCAGAAGCCTCCCCACCCCCATTTGGCAAACTTGTAGATCCCACAAAAAAAGGCCTTATATTTGATTTTACACACATACGTATTTATTTTTTATAAAACTCTTTTTTTTTTTTTTCTCTATAAAACTCTCAACAAGTCAACTCGGACTCATAGTTACCCTACAGGACAGAGTAGAACTGGCCTTGTGGGTTTCCAAGACTTTAAATCTTTCGGGGAGTAGAAAGCCTCATCTTTCTCTAGTGGAGTGGCTGAGGAGTTTGAACTGCTGACCTTGTAGTTAGCATCAAACCCACTAGGCCACCGGGACTCCTGTGATTATATATTGATTATATAATACCCCTAAATGAGATGTGCTCACATGGGTGCCAGTTTTTTTGAGGGACAGCTTGGCCTTAGAACTCAACTCACTGCCATCCAAGTGATGATGAAAAAGACAGAGACTTTAGCAAACAGTTGCATTATGCTAATTAGGCCCCACCCTTCTTCAGTGCCCAGACCCTGCTTCCCTGCTCCCGTCCCATCCAGGACTCCACACTCTTGAGCCAAGCAGGGTCCTCCTCCTCCTCCTCCAGACTTCACATTTTCCCTGGGGTACACGTATCCTAAGGGGAAAGGGTGTGAGCCTCAATTCTTTGGGGAGCCCCAGAGCAGGCTCCCTGTTGGGCACAAGCTGCTGGAACAATCAGATCTAGATGGTAAAGCCAGCATTGTGGCTGGCTTACCTGTGGCCTGTTCTTTTGTTAAGAAACCTTTTTGAGGTTCTTTGACTCCACTGCTGAGCCTGTCTCCGTCTCACGCACTCTCTGCTGTCACTACACCACCACCATCCCCTTAGCCCTGCCCCCTTTGGTTCCTCTGCCGCCCCGACTGGCCTGAGTATCACATTCTGCCCACAGACCTTGCATTGTGTCCTGGTCTTTGGGATTTCTTCTGGAAGGGGTTTTGGTTTCAAGCACAACACATAGGAGCCTTGGAAATGTTTCTTGGAAGATGCCCAAGTGGCTTCTCCCTAGACACTAGCTTGGAAGCAACTCTGCCGCAGGTTCTCTTGCAGGCCCTGTGAATAGGCCTCCTTGTGCCACCCAGGCAAGGGGAGAGCAAGAACGACCATGTGCTTCCCTCAGCTACAGCTGCCTGGGAGAAACACATTTTCCTCCTAGCCAAATCTGACAGAATTGCCACTTTCGGTTTCTGTAGAGCAAATCTACATTTTAAAAAATACATACTTCTGGCCCAAAGAAAAGAGAAATGATGTTTTAGTTAGTTCTTGGGGCCTTATTGCCTATAAAAGTGTGAGTATGTGTTCTGCTGGACTTTTTGAAATGTTGACCATAGGTCCTGGGCCATCATTCTAATCTCTAGGAATCAAGGAGCTGTTCTTGTCAGTCTGATGTAGATCAGAAGTCTCATTATACTAGGGGCTTCAAAAAGTTCATGGAAAATTATCTTTTCATTCCATGGACATTTTGAAGCCCCCTTGCAGGTGGGCCCTTCTGACTACAAAAGGAAAGGTGGTGCCTCCTATGAGCCTCTTTGCAGCATGTGATAACACTTGGTGTTGTCCCATACTAGTGGTGGCAGATGCAGAGCACAGGCAGAGAGGATGCTCTCTGAACCTGCGAGGAGAAGAGGCCTGTCTCCATGGGCCTTGTTTCTCTGCAGTCTTACACTTGTTAGACTCTTCCTTCCCAGTGAATCATGGAGTATAGGTATAATTTTTCTTCTAGGGTGCCACAACCTCTACCACCACTGCCTCTTTCTTGGACAATTCCTTGATTTTTCAGGACAATCCCTTTATAGCACTTTCCCAGATTTGTTTATTTTTCTCAGAGAGGCTGACTGGGTTATTCAGAAGAGTCTTGGGTTATTCTATGATCATGTGAGGTATTTCCTCTAACATATTAGCTCACATTATGTGATAAGCTCTGCTGCGTGTCAGGAAAAAAAACATTTGCCTTCAAGCTGGTCCCAGACCTTGGCAACCCCATATTCCCAGCGTCAGATTGTGCTTCATAGGGTTTTCTGTGCCTGTGATCTTTTGGAAGCAAATCACCAGACCTTTCTTTTGATGTGTCTCTGGTTGGTTCAAATCACCAACCATTTGGTGAGTGCTGGTAGTGTAGTAGGTACATGTTGGGCTGCTAACCATCAGGTTAGCAGTTCAAAACCACCAGCGGCTCTTCTGGAGAAAGGGTTTTCTACTCCTGTAAAGGGTTACAGTCTTGGAAACTCACGGGGGCAGGTCTCCCCCTGTCCTAAAGTGAGTCACCATCAACTCAGTGACAGTGAGGGGACTTTTTTGTTTCGTTTTTTTGGTTAGTAGCCAAATGCTTAACCCTCTGCACTCTCCAGGGAAGCTGCTGTATACCACACCAAACTCAACTGCCACTGCGTCAGTGCTAACGCATAGTGACCCCTATGGGTTTCCCAGACTGTGGCTGTTGATAGGAGTAGAAAGCCCAGTCTTCCTCCTGCAGAGCTGCTGGTAGCTTCAAATTGCTGACCATGCGGGTCACAGCCCCACTGGTAACCACTGCTACACCAGGGCTGGTGGTGTTGGCTCCTCAAAGACTACTGAAGCATTGATTTGCTTTGCTTCTAAGCAGCTTACACAGTATTTCATTGTCAAATCTTGATAATGCACGTGGAAACCCAGGAGGTGATTGGCCTTTCCTGCTGATCCAACCTTGTCAACGAGTCAGGGCTTTTATGCTTTGGGTCCCTCTTCCTGCCACCTGCTCCACTCAGGGAAACCTTGGAATCAGCTGGATGGCAAATGTTTTTAGCCAGTCCCCCATGGCACGGGTTAGTTGGACCTGGGGACTCAGCAGACGGAAGCTGGGGCCAGAGACTTCTTAACCCTGCACTCTGTGCTCTATTCTAGAAATGGCAGCGGAGGTTCTTCATCCTCTACGAACATGGTCTCCTGCGCTATGCCCTGGATGAGATGGTAAGTGTCCCCCTGGTAGTGGTCACACGAGTGGATGAGCACAGCAGCAGTGTGCTCATGCTCGCCTTGCTGTCTGAAGTGTCTGGGATATTTTGAAGAACTCCTGGCCATTCAGGGAGATACCCTTCAAACCCAAGGCGTTGATTTGAGGCATCTTCTTCAAGAATAACTGAGAAGGGGGTGTCCCTTCTGCTCAGACGTAGTAAACGTTTGGATTCACCCATAGCACTCTGTTACACAGAAGTCCTTGTAGAACTCTCTAGGTCATCAGTGGAGAAATGTTTTGTTTCCTTTGGGGTTTGGGTGTGGGTACATGTATGTTTCTGTGAGAGCATACAGACATTTGCATGCTAGATTCTCAACTGCCTTTTAATCCCCCCTGGAAAAATTGTTTTTGCTCATCTTTGTGGTCTTGGCTTAGTTTTTAGCTAACTACAGAGTTTCTTGGCCGTGTGCCCACTGTCCCTCTGCTTTGAGCCAGAGGGACATGGACTCCTTCCTGCTCTGCCCCTGGCCTGGTTTTCTACTATTTACTGAGCGGGGTGTGACTGTTATTCCAGAGGCAGCACTGAAAACTAACTAGGTCTAGGATTCTGTATTTTCCTTTTCTACTCATTGAATCCATGACTTTTTCTCTGGTTAAGTCATGGCTCAACTCCAAACTTGATGAAGTACCAAAGATAGAAGATATAGCCACTTTTGTGATGTGTGAACATGTGTGCCGGTGTACACATCGAGCATACACATGAGTCTTATGTGTGCATGCACAAGTGTGTGAATGTCATTGCCATATGCCTATGCCTCGTCAGATCATGTTGACCCCAGTACCTCACCATGTGGTGATACTACCACTTCCTTTGAAGCTAAAACTGTGGTCTGATAAGGAGTTTGTGCTAAGTCTAGCACGAAAGAGGCATTTGGGGGCATGTTTGGATGACCCAGTACTGACATTTCCGGGATACTTTGTGGGGACAGCCGTGCAGCATTTCCGCATTGGGACTGTCCTAAAAGAACGTGGTCGTGCTGTGTACCATTGGCTGATCCCAGCCCATCTGGAGCTCCTTTCTTTGCTGCACAGGTGAGAGCAGGGTTCTGGAGGAGTAAGCCGGGACTTCCTGTGCTAAGTTTAGCGATTCAGATGGTCTGACTTCAATGATGCTAGAGCTTTCTACAAGAACATAGAACTGTGGGTCTCAGCCAGGCCGTTGTGCCCTCGGGGCTATGTGATGGCATCTGGAGATAAGTGTTGATTGTCGCCAGTGGAGCACAAATGTCACCAGTGCCAAGGGGGAGAAATGGGGTCAGTGATTTACTTAAATTTTTTTTTTTAATTTTAAAAATTTACTTAAAACCATGACTTTGAGTTCTGACTGATTCGCTTTGTAAAGAGTATGGAAGAAATCACCTGCTGGGCTTCCTGAGAGTGGAGCATGTGGATCGGATTTATGCCTGCTGGCTTTGAGGTCAGCAAAGAATGGAGTCATGAATGCTACCAGTCTGGAGGGTGGTGTGGGCTCCTCACATACCAGGCAGCCAAACAAAACCAAACCCAGTGCCATTGAGTCAACTCCAACTCAGGCAGGTTTCTGAGCCTATAAATCAGTGGTTCTCAACCTCTCTAACGCCGGGACCCTTTAATACAGTTCCTCATGTTGTAGTGACCCGCCCCCCCAACCATAAATTTATTTTCATTGCTACTTCGTAACTGTCATTTTGCTACTGTTATGAATTGGGCGACCCCTGTGAAAGGCTCGTTTGACCCCCAAAGGGGTCATGACCCACAGGTTGAGAACCACTGCTGTAAATGTTTATGGTAGCAGACAGCCCCGTCTTTCTCCCACAAAGCTAGGCGACCAGAGCCCAGCAAAATTGTTGATGTGTGTCTCCCACTGGAGGACGCCCAGGTCGTGTGTCCTCCCTTCCTTCAGATTTTAATGCTCTGATCTTAGCAGCTTTTTGGTGCTGCTACAGCCCTAGCTCAACCAGAAGCTTCCTTCTCAGTCCTTCCCGGGTGAGAATCTGCTACCTCCAATTCATTGGAGCACTTTGCCCGTTCTTTGAACACGTACTCACTCTGCTTGAGGTTGTTATTTGACTTATACAATATTCCTGTTTGTTTTCATTGGTTTAAATGCTATCTTGCCCACTCAGTTGTAACTTTTTCCATTGTTAGCCTGATAATTGCTGGTGTTTCTCCATGTTGTGCGGCTGGCTCAGGCTTGGCAGCATGCATAGTCAGCCTTTGATAAATATTTGTTGAGCTGAGCCAGCCAGCTCTATACATGCATTAATGCAGAATTTTAACTGCTATCTTGGGAAAAGGGAGGGGTGTGAGGAAGAGAAAGAAGGTGGGACCTAGGATGTTCTGGGAGTGGGATTAGGGGTATTTGATTCTTTGTGGTTACTCAGCAGACAGAAATCCATCCAGAGGGCTCTGAGGAGCAGATGGGAGAGGTTGTCACAGACCCCTGCCTGGGAGGGTGCGGACCCAGAGAGTGCTCCTTGCTGGTTATGGAAGCTGACCGATGAGGTGACTCTCGAGGGCTTACTAGCCAGGCCTGGATCAAGGGACTTCTGCTGGGGCCAGGGCATTTGAATCTAGTCCAGTTTCTGACCATTGGCCTTCTCTCCATGCACTTCTGAGAGGACTAACTTTTAGGATTCTCTTTTCCTTTTTTGGGAAATTTCTTTCGAGATACACCCACATACCCTGTAACTGGTGGGTGTAGAGGAGAAGCACATTTCCCAAAAAAGGAAAAATCTCCCAAATGCAAGCAGAGGTGAGGTGGGCTCAGACAGCCTTTCAGACAAGTGAGAGCTTGAGCCGTTTGGCTGGGCCTCTGGGCTCTCAGGAGTGGGTGAGGAAAGATCTTGAAACCCGGAACTCTGCCTTTCTCCTCTGCTCTTGTTTCCCCATGTAGAACAGACTGCCTGTTGCTTCACTGTTAGACTGCTGTGCATCCAACTTTTCATCTAGGGCCTGATAGCGAGCTAAGGGACTGTTTTCTGCAGAGCCCAAGCGAGTTAGACACGAGCCCCGCGAGAAGCAGGAGCGGGGGAAGTGTGGAGCAGGAAGGGCCCTGAGCTCTGTGTGCTGGGCACCTGGCTTCTTGCTCCCACCCTTCCCTCCTGGACAAAGATGAGAAGAGAAAATGACGCTGTTGAACAACGACCCCTGCTCGCCAACAGGGACACAAACCATGAAGAGATTTGTCACCAGGGCTTCCAGGCCAGTCTTTTGCCTCTCTTCCAGGTGCTTTTGTCTCTCAATTACTGAGTCCTTGTGTAAGTCAGGACATACGGTATCTGCATGGTTTGTTAGGATTGTTAAGGATTTTAGCTCAACCCACCCTTGTAGGTGGCATGGGGAACACACTGCTAGCTCCTGGACATGTGTTTCTCAAGGCCAGTCTCCCTGGACTTGCCAGTCCCATATTGCTTTGGAGTGATTGTTTACTCATGTGTAAGAGAGGGCCAGGACTAGATGATCTTCAAAGGACTCTTGGATGAGACTAGTTTAGGACTCTGATTTTAAAGTTTTGTTTCTTGTGTGAGGAGAAAATTCAGGAGTTCCCATTCCTGACAGATTCCTGGTGTTACATAGAAGCCATGCCCTGCACAGCTGGTGGGCTGGGAGAAGAATGCCACAGGTGGGCCATGCACTGCACCCGTGCCTCAGGCCCTCAGCCCCCCTTTCCCAGACCTTCTCGTACATCTGTGGCTCTGCAGGGCTGCCCCAGCGCTCTTCAGATGCAGAAACACATCTGCTGAGCTTCCTAGAATCTGCTTCCACCTCTGCGGTTTCCCCTAGTTGCAGCTCTGGTTTTACTTAATGTTGTTATGGTAAAATATATGTAACAGCAAAATGTTCCATTTTAACCATTGTTAAGTGAACAATTTTGTAATGCTAACTACATGCTGTGCAACCATCACCACTGTCCATTGCCCCCAAATTTTCATCACCCCAAGATGAAATTAAGCTCTCAATCCCCACAGCCCTGTCAGGGTAACGCCAAATCAACTTTTACTTCTCTGTATTTGTCAATTCTAGGTATTTCAAATAAGTGAGATTATACAGTAGTTATCTTTTTTTTTTTGTCTGACTTATTTCACCAAGAATGATGTTTTTGAGGTTCATCTACCTGAAATTTCAAATCAGGACTACTTCTCTCTGCCTGAATAATGTCATCCCTGCATTTTGAGCCACTTCCACACTGTTTGAGTCATTGATAATTGTGTTTATTGGATTCCAAAGAACTGTAGGGGAAAGATGCAAAGCTGTAAGAAGGTCCCTTGGTGTGACTACAAGCACACTCTATTGGGAATCCCATAAACCTGTGGAAATGGACAAAGTAGCAAAATGAAGATAGAAGGTGTCAAAGGTGGTCATTTGGGAAGTCAGAGATGGGGAGGGTTCTTTCCCCCCATCCCCTCTGCCTTCTCAACTTGGGTTGTACTTTCTAAGGTGATCATTCTCTTTCTCCTCCCCTCCCCTGGCCAACAAAATATGTTGATTATGTGCAGTAGTTCTCCAAAGCCATGATAATGACCAAGATTAAAGCTGTTTCACACACACACGGGGAGAGAGAGAGAGACTGACATTGGTGAGAACAGTTTGTCTTCGAGTAGTTTGGGACTCCAGGGAACCAGCTTGCCCGTCTGAGGAAAGGTAGAGCTGACTTTTCTTCCACCCACTGTGTGGTCTTCTCCATGCCACAGATGTGGCTTCAGAAAATATGGAGCAGCCTCTGGGACCTGGTTTCATGTTGTAACTCACATTTCAGATGGGAAGCACCCTGGTGAGGTAGTTTTGTCTGTTGTAGAATTCTTGCAGACTGATGGAATCCTGTTGTGAGGTGAGAGGAATGTGGTGTGATTGAGCAACAGAGACCCAGGTAGAACCTACTCTTGGTTAACAGATTCTGAACTTCCTTTTCTTTGCTTTTTCTCTTTGTCTTTATGATTATAAAAAAGGAGACTTGTGCACATAGGCTCATTGC